GCGAATACCCTGCGAAGGTGGTCAACCGTGAAGGTGATTTCCGTCGGTAATTAATCCTCTTGTCCGGTCGTCGCGCGGCCGGAAGTTCCGGCTTCCACGGCGCCTCGTAAAGTAGCCGCCGCCGTCGACTCTTAGTTGGAATGAATCGACATTTATGCAGCCGTCGGTTAACGTTGGTTAGCGCTGTTTAGTAGAGGTGTGGCGTCGGCTTCGTCACGGGGGCTTCACTTACTATTTAATCTTCTGGACACGTCCAGCTTCAACGAGGCTGCGTAGTTAAGTATGAATCGAGACGGCGGCTTTATAATCCGGGTTAATGGCTGGGCTAAGTTTCGATTGTGTCAGCCCGGCGTCGGGCGTCGGGCGTCGAGCGTCGGGCGTCGCGTAATTGAAACATACTCGTACATATCCGAGTTACCGTATACGGCCGAGTTGCTGTGCGGCCTCAGTCCGGAGGGTCGCCGGCTCGTTCTTTCGTATTCCGCGGACACGTTCGACGCTAAACGTGAGTCTCTTGCAGAAAGCGATACTTACAGAGCGCCTTTTTCCAACCTCCCGCAGCAGCAGAGTGCGGCTCCTCGTCGGACACTGCGCGATATGAAGAAGAGCTACTTTATTGCATCGTGTCTCTCTTTCTCTCTTTGCTGCGTAATTAAATGACTACGAGGGTTCGCGCCTCTCCTCGAATAACGCGTTGACACCGAGAGTCGAGAAATCGAGAACGAATCAAATTAGATACTGAGGCTCGAGTCCCGACCGCGCGCACGTCATATTCCACGCCAAATGGTGAGTCTTGCAGACGAGGTAACGTCTACAAATCGCGTTCCCCCAATTCCCGAGGAAGAAACGGAGACCGCCTGATATGAAAAAGAGTCACTTTGTTGTGCCACCGCGTTTGTCTCTCTGCTCTCTCCGTAATTGAACAATAAGGGCTCGCGCCCCGTATCGTGCTCCGAATGGCACATCGACACCGTTGAGAAATTAAACGGATCAAATTAGATTCTGAGCCTCGTATTCTGACCGCATGTTTCACGCTAAATGCGGTCGTGTCCGTCTCTCAGGCCGAAATAACGTCGTACGTGACCCTCATATGAGACAGATCGAGACGAGAGAGACGTGGCTCAGACCCGGCAGAGTCCACGTTCCCCGCTGAAAAATGCCTCCGCGCGCGCTCAGAACATGGCGCCGCGGAGACAAGGAAACAAAAGTTGCGCTTTGTGAAAAGCCGGCATTTCGGAGCCGGGCGTGCTGTTTTCTCCTCGGACTGGAATCGGGACGGAATTAACGGAGGGTTCAGACTTGACCGCGCGACTTGCAAGCGTCGCTCGTTGAGTCATATCGACGGGGAAATGACGCACTTTAACCTATGTAACCAGCGAGGATAACGAAGGAAGACGATGCAGTTTTTAGACTGCGAGAGAGATCGCTCCCTTGGAGCGTTATCGTCGTCTCGCCGCATAGTGCGCCGCACGTCCTGTCTGAAGGTTAATCTTGGCGATAAACACGGGGGGTGGCTTTTTTATCTCCTTCTCCCTCTCTACCTCCCGTACCCCTCGTCGGCCCCTCTCCCGGCCGTCCTCCCATTCTTCACATCTCACGGCCGGCGGAGAAGCGGCAGGATGCCCGTAGGGGCATGTTTCCCCTCGGCGCGGAATCATCGTTCCCGAAAGGCAGCTGAGCTATACGGCCCGGCAACAAATGCGACGAAAGGCTGCGAAATGATCGCGAAAGCTCCATTAAAATTAGTACGACTGCGCTAATTAAAGCCCGCGGGCGGACGAGACGGGCTAAAGCGAGCCGGACTAATTTCGACACGCCGAAGATAGCACGCCCGGTGGGGTTATTTTCGCGGAGCCCTCTTTCGTCCGGCTGCTCCGCGACTTTAGACGCGCCCGTGTTTATTCTCACGCTACTCCGCACTGCTGCGAGCACTCGTCGGACACGGCGCAATTGGACACTCTCGTCACACGATACACATCTTGATTCTTTAATCTTGTCGCGCCGCGGCGGCACGTTCCGCGAGCGGAATGTTATAGGTCAGCCCGCTGGCAGCAAGGACATTCTTTTCCCGACTGTCCCGGAGCTAAGAGCACCCTTCCCGTCGCGCAGCTATTAATCTGCCCTCCCGGTGGAGCAGACAAATCGACTGCCTCGACCCGTTTTTGTCTTCCGAAGGAGCGTATTACGAGCACCTCGGATTCCGCGATATTAAACGCTCGACGAGCGGTTATAAATCCATCCCCCTCGATTCAGCGGCGCGCGATTCAGCGCAAGACACGCGAGAGACGCTCTGTCCCTCTCTCTTCTATGCACCCCCTTGCCTCCCGGCCCGGGAGAGTGAACTCCACCGCGCGAGTCGGTGAAAAAGCACTCTCGCAAAAAGCTCGCGGTCTCTCGCTTTTCGCGTGAAGATCGCACTCACCCCCGTCGTCGATCTGTCCGTATTATTCCGCGCTCGTTCTCCGCGCTTGTCCATAAACTACGCGACTCCTGCGCGTTCATAAATCCCGACGATGAAATGGAATCAGACTTTCGGCTGCCGTACAGAAGACGCAGAACAAGACGCAACGTGTAACACCCGTCGCGACGCGACGCGACGCGACGCGACGCAGCGATCGTCAGCGGAGTCAGTCTCTCGGTCTCGCGGTGGTTCCGTTGGAATGTTCCTTCGAGGATGCTAATAAATTCAGCGATCTCTCAGACGCAATACTATCGGAAGCATGTCGGAGCCACGGCGGAGAGGGGGGTGGGAGGAGAAAGCGCCGCTGTAAACGATTTATTAAAAACGCACGTGAATGCGAATGTACGTTAAACGCCGCGTCTCTGGCGACCTTGGGGCGAGAATCTCTGCGCCAAAGTACGCGAGGGATGAAAAAATGTCTCTCCCCCGGCATAGACCGCAGTCGTAGGGGAGCGGATGTGGATAATGTGAGTGAAACGCGACGACAGAGAGAGAGAGAGAGAGAGAGAGAAACGCGACGCGCAATCACGACGACGACGACGACGACGACGACGACGACGACACGTTGGGTGCACGTCGCGCGTAATATCGCGCCGTTTCATCGCGCACGCCGCGGGGATGCGCGGGTCACGTAATAAGATTGAGCACGGCGAACGCGAGAGTTCGCGATGGAGCATTGTCTCGCGCTCTAGCGGCAGCGAGCTCGAGAGTTCTCGAGCTTGTGCGACGTAAGAGGATTTATCCGCGACGTTATTTTCGCGCGCGCGACGCGCCCTGAATCACCAGTCTCGGGCTTTTTCCCCTTGGCCCGGGCGAGAGCGAGGGCGAAAAACGCTTAATAACGCACATCGACGTCGCCGTTCGCCGCGTCGTCGCCAAATCGCGCGCGCGCGGAATAAACGAATCCGGGCTGGACTCGCGAGCTCGACAGGAGAAATCGCGACTGCGAGTCGTAAGAAGCTTCCCCTCTGTTTCCTTCCCTCGTTTCGCCTTCTTTCGCTTGAATTTGGCTTCTTAAGTAGAGTCGCTCACGGACGGACGATGTTGAACACTCTCCCGCAGCGATTTATTCGTCCTTCGTGTCCAAGGGATTTTTGGCGCACGCAAAATATAAACGCTTTGCGTGCCAAAGGAACGAGTGAAGCCCGCAGTGCTCCGGCGTGCGCTCCGCCGGATACAAAGTGAATAATTCCATTTGCCAAAATCAGGAAAACGCCGGTGCGTCGTTTCGGTGCGTTACGTTTCGGAAAAAGCTTTAATTTATGCCTTTGACGCGGTGCCAAGTGTAAAGCGGGCCGCCGGCTGTTGAGAGCCGACGCGAAATACGCCCCGCGTTTCTCCGCGTAGAACGGCGCGAAATATCAGATTCATGAAAATGTCACGCAACGCGTCCGGGCGCCAAGGCGATTGTTATTCCGCACGTAACGCTATCCCGCTAATATCTACTTCGGTTGTAGCGCCGTATATGGTTTTCTATACGCCGCGCGATATTTCTCGATTTGCGGCAAACGCAACAGCGACAGCCAGCGTTGCTGCTTTATTTATGCGGACACATGGATTTGCATATCAACGATAATGCAACATACTCGCAACTAAGTAAGTGATATTATCGCCGTATATCGATTTTAGCATTATGCATATTTTGTAATTACAATGAACAGGTGCTCGATTCAAGCTTCAACGGGCGAAACGTACCGTTGCAATTCTCCATAAGCTGGAGAACACTATTGTTTTTTTTCAAGAAACAAAAGTGAGAAGTTTGCGTTTCCTGCTATCGAGTCAGCCGTCTTCGATGTATTCCTACATTTCTAAGCAACCGCCTAACGAATCGGATGAGTCTAATGAGGAAACGTGGAAACATTTTTCCCACGGATTTTCACGCGTGCTTCAAACATGTGGCAGCGGCTGGAAATAAGAGAGGCTCGTTTATTTTCTTATACATGCTTCCCCCGCATATTTAAGGATTTGAGAAAAACCTCGTGGGGCAAATCCGGTGAAATTAATTGTGAGCGAAATCTCCCCTCATCATCTCTCTTCCATTAACCCTCGGTTTAAGCGCGCTCTTTTTCCAAGAGAACAAAACGGAATATTCACGGAGTTCCCTCTCGTTCCAAACACGGATCTCCAAGAAACCGAAAAGAATATCCTTTCTCGTCTTCCCGGGTTTTTCCCGTAACTAGCGGCAAGGCGGTTCGAATTTCCGGTGGGAGAGCAGGAATATTCGCGATTTGGCGCTAAGTCAGAAAATAAGGACGAATTGTCGAATGGCCGCGCACGCGCCCGCGCCCGCGCCCACGCGGAGGTGTACGAGAAGACGAGAGATTTCAACGTTTCAGTGTAAACGAACATATTTGTCGAGGGTGGAAGATCGAGGTTCGTCTCTCACCAGGTCGCGCGATCGTCCTGTAACAAATTCAGCCTGGTGAGATTCCGCTTCAGCCAGTCTTCTTCCGGCACGTTGGAACACCGACGCCGATAGGAAAGAACCCGACGAGCGCGACAGATCGCGGCCATGTGCCGGCGCCGATTTGCGCCCCACGGTGCTTCTTCGTCCGCACCCTCTCGCTCGGGGGCGCGTTCAGTCGGCTTCGAGCCGCGAGTGGGGTAAGTTGCGTCGCGCGCCGGCTCGCCTGGCTCTTTCGCTAAGCGGACGGACAGCCAGCAGCGACGCCACCCCCGCGCGCATCGGTCGTTTCCGTTCGCCGTTAAATCGCAAACAAGCAGCGACGAGATCGTCGACGCATCGTCGCGCGCCGATTTCACCGGCGCGGCGCGGCGCGGCGCGGCGCGGCGCGGCTGGATGCACCGTGAATGCACCGCGAGCGCGTTTCGTGATCCATCCGTTTGGTTTCACCTTGCTCCTCCTCTCGGGGGCTCTCGGCCCCCGACTTATAACGACGACGACGACGACGACGACGAGGACGCCGGGGACGAGGACGACGGAAAAGGGACGACACGCTCGTCGAGTCGCGCGTCGCATGTGAGCGCGTGCGGGAATCTTCGTCATGCTGAGGTGAGTCCTCGTTCTGTCGTTTCTCACTCGACCCGCTTCTCAGCCCGCGATTGTGACTGCGCAATTGCTTATGTAACGTTTTCGGGAACCCTTTGGGGCTGTAACGCCTCGCCCTTAGCGGACTTTGCCCTCGCGATCGGACATTTCGATTCCCGTCGGCTTCGCGCGTCTCCCTTCGCTCGTGAATGCACGAGTCACATCGATCGAGCGAAGACTCGTTTCTTTTTTTTTCGTGAAAACTACGACAATTTGTGAGTAGCGAGAGATTCGAAGACTGAGGCTATCGACGAACGAAACTGAACGAAACGAAGCAGAAGCGCGACTGAACAAATACGTCCTATTTTCATTTAATTTTCAAAGTACTTCGATGCTTTTCGTTTACTCGGTAGTCCTCTTCCTCGGAAGCTTTGTATTTGCTAGAAATTACGTTACGTCGTACGAAATTATTACATTTGAGATGCATCGGTTCCTCGAGACAAGTGCTAGTACACGAGCTTGACGAGCTCTAAGCTCGTAAGGAGGAGGACGTAAAATTTCAAAGACAACTCTGTGACTCGGAAAGCTCCGAGGAAATTTCTACATCGTCAGCCGGCCGTTGACCTTATTTCGTAAGAAAGTAGTTAGATTCAACTTTTGAAGTTTCGTTTTGTTTGTGGAGCGAAGGTTCCACCTCGTGCGCGCGCGACTATCGCCTGGAGGAACGCTCTCAGGAGCATTGAGCAGGTATATTTGTAAACTGCCAACTCGTAGTCAATTGTCGGTTCCGAAGCTCGGCGGGAACTCAATCGATGAGATCGTGCCGACTACCGAACGTGAACTGTAGTGGCATATAGTAAAGTAATCTCCAGATACAAGTGGGTCAACAAGTTGAATATTCCGCAGATACTCGCTTTTGTATTCGAGAATCGCCCTTAGCAGGTTCGTGCTGTGGTAACGAGGATCAAGAACACACAAATGTTCATCCGCGGAGGTCTATGGAGATTCGCGATTTAAGAGAGAGCGCAAATCCTCACGACCTTTTCTCTTTAGATCGAAAAGGACGGATGAATGGGCGGCGCAGCCTTCTTTGAGAACTTGAACCTTCTCTGAGAACTAAACGGCGCAGAGAACTAAATGTCGCCCGACAAAATGAGGATAATTACAATCATCGAGTTGAAAAAGACGCGCTTGAGCAAATATTTCAACAATTCTCTTCGTCATCTTCTGTCATTGATAAAGAGAGGGCGACGGTTGCGTTGTAGGGACGAGATCTTTGATATGTCTAATTTATTCATTGCACGCTCGGGAAAAAGAAATGAGGTAATTCTTATGTTCGGTCGTCGTCGTCGTAGCTGTTTCCGGTTTGTTGAGCCGAGAACACGGAACATAAGCTGAGCTCCCGCGCATTAGCATTCAGTTCTTCTGACACGTTAATAATGTCGCGAAATACGCGCGTACACACGCCGCGTCGAATTACCTTAAAAGCTCTCTCCTCGCCGATATCGCGGCCTTCTACGGACGAAGTCGCTAATGTTCGTGCCGCCTTCTTTCCTTCGCCTCGAAAACTCCCTGAGATATTAATCCCTTATCTCTACGCCCCGGGAGTGTCTCGCCTTTATTTCGCGAGGCGGCACGCTCGCTCTCTCTCTCTCTCTCTCTCTCTCTCTCTCTCTCTCTCTCTCTCTCTCTCTCTCTCTCTCTCTCTCTCTCTCTCTCTCTCTGGGAGAGTGACATCTTCACTGGCGCGTTTCTTTCTGTCGTACTTCCGCACGATCCTCGGCCACGGTACGCGCATTTTAAAATTTACAACCGACGTTCTATCTCACATGCGAGAGCTCGCATGTCATAACGCCGCGGCCTTTATGTATTATTCGGCGCTCCAAGATTTACCATGAAATGTACGGCCGAATAGAGGAGCAATCCGGAATGTTGGCGCATATGCTGACCGAACGGTGTATATTTGGATCAACAAACGACGAGAGTACATAAAGCTGGAGCGGACCCTCAGTGGTCACTACGGGTCACGAGAAAGAGAAAGGCAGAGGGAGAGAGAGAGAGAGAGAGAGAGAGACGGAGAGAGAGAGAGAGATAAAAAGAGGAGCTTCGATAGTTCGGATGTAAAATATCATCGGCTGCTTTTTAGCGAGGGCTTTAGCGACAATAAAAATATACATATTAGGCAAGGACACAGAATCTGATCCCGGATATAAAAGGCGACTCCTCCCAAGAGAAACAGATATTCACGGAGGGCAGAGCAAAGCGGGGGGGGGGGAGGGGAGGGAGAGGCGCTGAAAAAAAAATAGACGGAATGAGAGGCACGGAATAATAAAGAAACACGGCCCTTCCCCCCCCCACCCCGATTACACGACACGACTGTATGTATGTACACGCGTGTACGCGCTGACAGATCCATGGAAAAGCAAACATTAAGTATGAACCGATCAATTTCGCGCGCTATTTTCGTCGCGATCGATCGTGAGTGCCGTCGAACGTGTCGCCGAAGCGACGCGAGCGATGTCGCGTTTCCTCCTCTCTGCCCTCTTTCGTGTCTTGGTCTTTCTTTTCCTCCTCATCGGTTTATGCCGGTCGCTCCGAGGGATTTCATTACCCTCTCGCCGGCCATCGCGCGCTTAAACACGCGTCCCAGGTTTCGACTCTCTCCTGCCTCCGCCGATCGGGGTTCATCCGCATAATCCATGCGACGTTTTCATAATACAGAGGTTCACATTTCTCACTAGCCCGTAAAATGCTTTTACAGTCTCGGCGGGGCCGTGATCGCGGCGGGACGGGGTGACACTTTTCAGCGGGACTTTATTACATCCACGGTCGCATCCCGCATCGCCGGTATATCTCTCCTTGCGCTAAGTTCTATTTTCGTTGCGCCATATCGATCCCGCTCGCGCCGTTTGAAGTCGTACACCGCGCGTCGTCGGCCCGCGTAGGATCTCCTTTGCAAACGGCGAAATTAAGCCGTTGGGGGTTGGGCGGAAAAGCAGGGAGGGAGAGAGGGAGGGAGGCAGGGGCAGACGGATAGATCGTCCGTCGCGTGAAGAAAAGCGGCGTGAAAAAAAGGAAGAAAAAAAAAAAAAATAGGAAATGATGAGAAAAAAGGAGAGAGGAACGTTAAAATACACCGGGAGCGGGGTGAAAGTGCTGGCGTGTAAATCAGCACGGGTCGTGTTTGGTAAGCGCAGGCCCGTTTCGCCGAATGCGAGGCATACGCAAATAAATCGCCAGTGTCGGATGAGCGGGATATGAAGATACACGGTTTGTCGATACGCGCGTATAATCCCTTCAATATTGAGTCTTTAATTCAATATCCAGGAAACAAGAACGTGCGCCCTGAAAATTATTTTATCGATCGTCCCCGCGATTACGGAGTAACAATTAAATTTATCATCCTGCGTGTCTACTTCTCCTCTTGTGATAATAATCGTACCGCCGTATTTAGTTCTCGTGACAACTCTCTGCGACTGCTCGTAGCGAGCAAAAAATGTACCAAATAAAACTATAAAGTCTCTCTTTCTCCCTTCCTCCCTCTCTCTCTCTCTCTCTCTCTCTCTCCCTCTCTCTTCCTCTTTTTCTCCCCGTCTCTTCATTCTTTTTATGTAGTGAAAATGTTCCGCTTTAGAACGAATGTGGCTGCAGATGTGTCGTAGTGACCGACGTGGAAATTAAATTAAAAAAATCTCCGATGCTCCGGTTGCGACCGTCGCGCGAGTCGGCTGCGCTCGCAGTAGTCGAGCTTGATCATTGGACCGACGGCTGTATTATAAGCGCGCACATGTCAAACGCGCGACACTCGTTATTACTTTTTCAGATAATTAGTTGCATGAAATGTCGTAATTAATGAGAGCATGAATAAGAAGATTACCGTCCGACGCAATATATTTATTTGCGCGTAATATTAATGATGTGTCGCTCTTTTGTATCGAGAAGCATTTAACGCAGAATGCATTTACGAGGTTAATACGTTTTAATGAACTGTCGATTCAATGAAGCTCATGCGTTTCTCTCGCAGTTCGACGTTGAAATTTCAAAATTCCTCCGCAATTACGTTCCCTGAATGAAATTTCCGTTAAGATGAACTGGTCTTCAATTTTATTCAACAATCTCTCGGAATACCGTGCGTGAGTCGTGAGAGAATGTCGATAAATAGAATCATACGGAATAAAGACACGTCGTTTCGTCGAAGGGAGGAAGAACTTGGCCAACATCGAGGAAATCCAGTGGAAATTCAACAGCCGAGAGTATTTACGCTTGAAAACGTTTCTCTCTTTCTTTACTCGCCTTTCTCTCTCTCTCTCTCTCTCTCTCTCTCTCTCTCTCTCTCTCTCTCTCTCTCTCTCTCTCTCGCTCATCGTCGAGATCGAGATCGAGTGTTTCGTGCGCTCGCTCGTTTAGAAATTCCGTTGAGCATTAAACATGGACAAGTTAAACATGGACAAGTTGCGCAGTGCAACGGTACGCCAAGGTACCGGTTAAAACAATTGAATGTTGATTTCGCCAATTAATAACAGAATAGATCGGTGGTCAGTTATTGATCGATGGTTAATTATCGTCATTAACGGAGTGTGGATGCGTGCTCGCAATGGCGCTACGCGACTATTCTCGTTTGCTGGAACGAAGTAATTAATTTCTATCCAGCGACAATGCTCGTGCGGACACGCGCGCCGGCGACGATACTTCTCGTTATTAATTGAGAATCCAATCGAAAGTTGCGTCGCGCGGGCGATGCAAGTCGAGGTACGAGGAAACGCGTTTCCGCGCATCCACGTTCCATCCATTAAAATGTCTCGCCTGACTACTGAGCCGTTCGCCATTCTTCGCTTGCACGCGTATGACGTCCCGGCTCCCCCGGCCGGTCGGCAGTGGAGATTTTATTTTTTCAACGGACTTCGCTGCGAAACGCGCGCGCGCCGCTGCCGCTTGAAAAAAAGGGAGAATTATTTTCGTCCTCATGGAATATTGTGCTCACGACAGGATTAACAATGAATGAAAGCACAAAGGCAGAAAGACGG